GCAGCATTAACAGAGCAGCAGAGGAGACGCCAATTGCCAGTTGTTTTTGTCGTGAACTTTGATTTTCCCACGTCCTGGATGATTGAAAATCTTGACCAGCGTACCTAACAAGTATTTTGTTGGGATCAGTGGGAGAAAACCGGAGTTCACGGAGAAAACCCATGCGTGCACAGAAAGACTGAACAGAGATTAGAATCAGGTTCTGTTTGATTTAAGGCAGCAGGATTAACAGAGCAACGATGCCCCCTCCGTAAGTTTGGTCAAGACGCCCCCAGCTGCTTGTCTTCTTACTTGCATGGTAATATCCTAATTGGAGGAAGTTTTGTAACCGTTTGGATTGGAGTGGTGCTTCTACATGCAGTCTCTAGTTTTGATTTGTTGGGGGTGGGTTTCAAGTCTGCTTTAATATTTTTAAGTGGAGGAAAGTGAAAATTGTTTGCTTTCCTCACTTTTAAAAACTCATCAGATTTGCGGCTACTGATTTCTTTCTTAAATTTTTCAATCTCAAACTCTAACTGATGAATTTGGCCTTTTAGTCCCTTGTTTTCATCAGTGAGCTGCCAGTTTTTAGTCTGGATTTGATTTTTATCTTTCATCTCTTGACAAAGTTTTGATTTCAGTTCCTCATTTTCTTCTTCTACTTTCAGCTTTTTGAAACTGTCTTCAAACTCGTGTTGACTATCCTGCTTGGGAGGTTTGGAGATTTTATTTGGAAGCGAATAATCAATAAATTTTAGCCCCATCTGCTTACGAAGCATCTGTTCATTTTGTTTGCATACTTGATTGGTGGATTTCCTTAGTGTCAGAGTCTCCTTTTCACGCTTGAGTCCATTTATTTCCATTGTTAGAGTTTCATTTTCTTTTTCAGCCCGCATGATTTTATCTTGCAATGTGCTTTTTTCATTTCTAAGCTGGTTTATCGTTTCCGTTTTAGAAATGTCTGACTTTTTCAAATTTTCCAGCTCACTGGCATAATTTGCAATTGTCATTTCAGCCACATTCAGATTTTTTGCATGCAGCTTGTCCTTTTCATGATCTGCTGTAATTTTGCTCTTCTCTTCATTTTTCACATATTCCAATTTAGCTCTGGTATTGAGCAAATGGTTTTTTAAAGAGAGATTTTCTGCCCCTAGTTGTTTTATTTTACAGCAGTTTTTGTCATAATCAACCATGAGCTTTTGACAATCACCTTCCAGTGTCTTGATTTTATCTTGAGCACAGCTGAGGTTAGTTACAGCCCTGAACAAGTTATATGAAAGAAGATTGCTTTGATTTTGGGATGCTGTTAGTTCAATTGTGATTTTCTTTTTTTCTGCTTCCTTTTCGTCCATAGCGAGCAGAAAAGTCTGTGACAGTTCATCTTTGGCCTTTTCCTGGTGAATTTGAGCTATTTTTAATTGCTTAATTTTCCCATGCGCTTGACTCAATTCCTTCTGCAGGGTTTGAATCAAGGCACGCTGCTTAGAATTTTCTTTACATTGATTGTCTATTTTAGTTGTATAGGAATTTACATCCGTCTTAAGCTTTTCGATGGTATTTTGACATGAAACATTTCTTGCAGCTAGTTCTGTGATTTTTTCCTTCAGGTGTTCATCTTTTTCTTTAACTGTTTGCTTCAGTTTCTTTTCAGCTGCAGCTTTACGTTTGTATTTTTCAAGCTCTTTTTCAAGGCTGTGACATTTCATTTTTTGTTCATGAAAATATTGATTTATTTTTTCATACTCTTCTGCTTTACCTTCGTATTTCACCCTTTTCTGAATTTCAGCTGCAGCAGTCGTTTCAGCACTGATTAATTCTGTTCTTGCCTTTTGTAGCTCTTCTTTCAGCTTTTCATTTTCTTGACAACATTTTGAGTAATCCTTGGAAATTTTCTCATTCTCTTCACACTTAGAGTTTAAAAGAGCATACAGTCTCCTGACATCTAAATTGGCGTTTTGAAAACGTTCATGCTCCCTCTCTTTCTGCTCACGGTGACTTTTGTGAATGAAAACTTCATGTAAAAGCTGCTTTTTGTCACTTTCTAGAGATTTAATGTTCTCTTCAAGTGCATCATTCACAGCTGCTTTTCTGACCAACTCATTTTCTAAGGCCAAGATTTTGTTTTTAGCCTTTTCCTGTTTCTGAATGAAAATACTGTTGTGCTGCTTAATGAAATCATCTCTGTCCTGTTTCCATTTCCTTTTGATGTTGTAATCTGCCTCTCTTAGTTGAGCAATTTCATCTTTGCACCTACGAATCGTATTCTTAAGCTCCAATTCAGCTTTCTTGAACCTCATAAGCTCCTCCCGGAGCGCAGCGTTTTCTGATCGAGACATTATTCGATGTCTTGACAGGTTCGTTTTAGCTGAAAAATGGATCCACTCACAGTGTGCACTGAAATGTTGGATTTTCAAAAAAGAAAACTATTCCAGTCACAGCTTCTGTAAACGCTTTAAAAGCTCGTGCGTCTCTCTGAAATGACTCTGACATGCAGCGCTCTTATTTATAAACTCCGAAATGCCGTTTGTGACGTCATCACATGCTGCCTTTGTTACGTCATTTTCTGTCCCTTTGAAGATTCAGGCATGCAGTTACCACTGACATAATCACATTACGCATTTTACGTCATTCTTTGGTCCTTTGATCTTTCGTTCTGCGTATGAATTTATTTGAATGTAACTTACCGTAGTTGTGATGCTGCCTTCCATTTTATTTGCGTCAGATTTTTTTTTAACACACTGCACAAGCAATAGCTGATAATAATGAAATAAAAAGAATTTGGGGGTTGCCACAGCGATCGAACTTTTCGAATTTGAAAAATCGATAAATTTCGTTAACGGTAGCACTGTTGCGCACGCGCACTATACTGATAGGCAAAAGGGTGACGCTAGCAGATACCAATGCGCATGCGTAAACTCTGGTACTGGTAGCCATAGATATCATATAATCACTAGATCCCTCATTGGCTGCTGCGGCGCAGGAATTTCGGCCGCCATCTTGGAACGGTCGTCCTTATTTGGTTAAAGCAGAAGATGTCTCAGCACTTCGCAACTTATTTCTGTTCTAATCGACGGACTGTTGACGTCAGGTATTGGGGAATAACTTTTCACAGTAAGATGAACATATTATTGTTAGTATTTTGTGAATATAATATTACTGTACTGTATTTATGTCCACCAGCTGATGTTATGTTCAGTGTAACACAGTGTTCAGCTGCAATGAAGCTGACTGAGATCTGATGACAGGAATATTTTGCTAACAAACATACTCACTATTTCAGTAGCTTTGGTTCATTATCAACAGATATGTATCATAATTGGAGTTTTGTTTAAGTTCTAGGATATAAAAAAAATAAAACTAGGGAGACTATAGGAAATAGAAAATAAGCTTGACCTCTTTTGTACAATGTTTTAGTGTAGAGACAAATCTCCTGTTTTTATTTTGAAGGTTTCCCAAAGAACAAGATGTGAGGAAGAGGTGGAAGTATCTTTGAGGAGGATTCATCCGAGCAGTGAGGATTTTAAACTGGAGGATTTTGATCAGACTGTCCGACTGAGAGATGGTGTGGTACCATCGGTTCACCTTCAAAGAGTAGGAGCATCATTATAAGTTCATTAGAGTTCATAAATTTACATATTTTATTGTCAGTCACAAGGTGAGATACCTCTGTGTGTTTATATGAACAGGTAACTATAGACTGTAAAGTTCATATTCATGATGTTTTTTCATTTCAGCTTGAAAACTGCAGGACTACAGGAACTCAACAAAAGCTGGAGCTGCTCTGTCTGTGGCCTCTCAGGAACGTGCACGTCACACACACAACCTCGGCTCATGATGTGAGTATTTCTATTTTAAACTTTTATTTTTTCATTTAGCCTTTATTTATCCAGGAAGTCTCACTGAGTCACGAGAACTCATTTTCTAGAGAGACCTGTTTAGGAGCAGATGGTGGGGGTTGAGTGCCTTGCTCAGGGGACCAGAGTGGGGCCAATGAGGGTGGAGGCAGGTGTGGGTGTTTCACCTTTTCCACCTCATTTTGATGTTGACGGTACCGGGAGTTGAACCTCTGTGACTTTCCAATCACAGGCCCATCTTGTAACCTCTGCGCCCCCCCCCCCCACTCCTCCACATAACATCATATCATAATGTTCATGGTCATATTAAAATCTCACTGGTTTCCTTCCAGATGTGTTAAACAGCTGCTGGTCCCCCTGATGTTTCCAGGTGGCTGTGGTCAGTGGATGAAAAGCCTGGCATGAACAAGATGATGCTGGAGATCATCATTTGACGAGAGCTCCCACCTTCTAACTGTGAAGAACAAGAGCAGCTCAGTGATTCCCTCAAGGCTCAGTGAAGGAGCTGAGAGCTGCAGAGAGGCTGATTCATGGAGCT